CTCCTACGGTTTTTGTGGGTCTTCATATCGCAGTCCGATATATTGAACTCCCTATCCGGGAGCGAAGAACGAGTTTCAGCAAAGAATGGCTTCCAAGAGATCCCGCCTAATAAATATTCGTCAGCAGTGCTTGCTTTCTTCTGCTTTCTTCTGCCGAATAAGCGGTTTTCTGATCCCATCCCATCTTGTAATGCGGTAGATGGCTTCAAGTCTCCATATAATTGGTGTATCCATTGACATTTTCAAGCCTATTGAGCCCGCTATTTCCTGACATGACCTCAGAAAGCTTCCTGGAGACGTGATGGATAGATGCGTTTTCCTTTAATTGGTGGAACTAGACCAGCGTGCTCCATCCAGTATGGCGTTATTACCTCCTTTTACGCTTATTTGGAGAAAGCCACCGGATTTTATGTCATCCAGTCGAGGAGATTTACAGTCAGCGTGGACTAGTTGAAGGTCGTCCATTTGTAGTGGAGTCCTTGAGTCAATCTTGAAGTAAGCTCTATGCCACTACAATTTCCCCAAAGTCAATCATTTCTGAGGACATTTCGCTACAATCTACATATGCGATTCTGGTCCATTGTTTCATTGTGGCGTTTGGAGATCCAAAGCTGTTGGCCAGAGCAGTAAGCCCTTCTAATTCTGGACTCTTGTTAACTAGTTAAGAAGAAAAAACCATTATGAACGAAATAATTAAAACGGTTCGTTTTACTTCTTTCTCAGTCGGACCTTATTATTTTTTCAAACCTGGGTCATCACAAAATGGAACAGAACGGATTTTCTTACCTTCTATTGTTCCTAACCGATCTGAACAGACCGTCCCTCCACTTAAGCGCCTTCCATGTTCCTGTTCCTGTGTCCTTCAGAGTGTTTCTTCAAAGATCTGCTATTTGTTTATGACTTCCTTCTTCAAAAATTTTTACGGCAACAACGCCGGCGTCTTTCTACCCAAAACATCACTATATTTAAAAACTAAGGCTTTTCCCAAGGCGTTTTTTTTGGCAATTCTGAATGATGTGTGGTTTTTGCAAGTTGGGAGGGTGCATGCATTGTGCACAGCAGCTCTGGTTCGAATCTTTGGCAAATTTTGCCTTTCTCGAACTCTAATTTCCATTTGTTTATGGAAAATTTTTTTCTGACCCCTCATAGTACTTTTAAAATTTAAAAAATATTGCATAATCGTAGAACATAAAATCTTTACTATGAAATTTATAATTGTCATTCTTTGTTTTCTAACTATGCTTCATCTCGAACCTTGGTCAGATAAGAAACCCGTTTTCATACAAATGCACAAATGCCGAAAAGGCTTCAAAATACACTAAAGTTGTAAGTGACCCGATAGTTATGAGTTTTTGTACTTGTTTGGCGTTTCAAGAGGTGGTCCAGGAAAAGAAGACCTCACCTGATTCGGATGTCTCGATTCAATAATGCATACCGTAAAAGTGATAAGCTATGAAGGGATATTCTTTATCTGGTATAGTACCGCAATGCGCCCACCTAAGAACGAAGTCGGTTAGAATAAGCAAGGCTCCTACGTGGTCCAAAGCGTCTTGCACAGCTTCCAATAGGACAGTTCGAGCTATTTCTTTCTGCCATTTTAAGTCTTCAGCTCCCTTTTCACTTGTCGTCGTAGAACTAATAGAGGTTGGCAGACAGGTTGCGTCGGTGGTGCACGGCTGGCGAAAAACTGTTTCCATTAGCTAGCGGTGACAGATTGATAAGGTCAGAGCGAATGAGAAAGCGCAGTTTCACTGCTTCTCGTGGCCACTTCTTTTGGTTTTTGTGGAGCTCTCTGAAAACTCCACAAAGCAGTTCAATCACTGGAACTGTGACTCCTTTCATTCGCACTCGGTGCCTCGGTACCGATGGTGGTGGTGGTGGCGACGTGATTGATGGGTCCAAAGCAATGGTGGCAGTCAGCGTCTCGTCGTTGCGATGTCGTGGAATTTCGACATCTCGCCACTTTGACAGGCAGATGTTTCACTTCGTACTTCGGTCGCGGAAGTCATCCGATCACCACGTTTTTTTACCCCGGGGAAATCTTGTTCTGTACCCGTTTCGAACTACCCCATGATTCCTTGCTTGAACAGAGCCGCCTCTTCCGCTCCTACGACGACGTGACACTCGAGTGTAACAAGGCGTTCCCCCGTAACTGTGTTTTTTAGTCAAATAGCGTGGCTCTGCTCGCTTTGTTGACTCTTTGCCTTAAGAGTGCTTCATAGGTCTTGTTGTGGGCTCTTGGAGGGTTATCTGGGCCAGTTCATTGATTTTGTTCCAATCACTTGTTCACGTACTATGCAACATCATCCGATTGACTGGTTTGTTATAGTAATCCTCTTAGCCTAATTGCTCCGTAGTTGGCCACATGCCTCGGGGAACTCTCGCCTTCCGTAATGAGCTGGAGGGCGTTTCTACGAGCACTTTTTTGCATTCGGCTGCTGTTGTGTAACCTACGAGTGTTTCCGATTTTCGTTCCGCTTCGGATCTTCCGATTTCCGACTAATCCAAGGAAATTCTCTTTATTTTACGGATTTTCCTTGAAATAGCCGAATACCGTTTTCCCACTGACCACCCTTTATGTCTTTTTCTTGCATGCTCGGTAAATGTCCCATTGAGGATCCTGCTTACACGGACGAGCACCGTACCAATTCCGGTAATTCATGCCTGGGAATTTTTAACCAGGCCCTTCGGCTTTTTGCCTTTGATTGCCCTTGTGATTTTAAAGCAGATTTTTTCTCGAGCTCTGATTTTTGTCAGGTCAAATATCTGTGGTTGTATACCTGCATGGTTAACCGGAGCCTTGTGTAGCCACGGGTTATGCCTGTGGACTTTGACTTTTCTCTACCACGCGATTTTCGTTGACATTTCCAGGATGAGAAATGCTCTGTTTTGAAATTATAAAATAAAATTTGATTTTTGACATCCCAAGACCTTCCTTTGCCTTGGCTTTCCCTCAACTGCCTCCTCACGTAGCAAAGCGCTTTAGCAAGGCGTTTTTTCCTACCCTTGCCCCTTCCGTACTATACAACGGTTCTGTGTACATGAATGCTTCCTGACACCAGCGGCGTTCCCAGGTAATCCCAGTGATTTATGCGTGGGACTTTCGGCCCGTCTCGAGTCGTTCTTGTATTGGCCTTAATCAGTTTTGATTTATAGCGGTTCACTGACCTGTACAAGTAGGTACTTAAAAGGTAACCGCCTTGTCCTAAAATCATCCTTTGCTGTCTTTACTCGTAGTAGTTCCCACAGCCTTTGGGCTTCCACGTCCTAAGTGAGGCCACATTTATCTTTCGATAATGGGTAAAAGGAGCGTTTTTAATGGTTCAGTGGACAGTTAAATGTTGGGGACCTCGTCGTACCCTTCCATTGATTCGGGCTGAATTTTGGTGCAGCGATTTTCCGGTGAATAAATTTGCTTCCACTTCTGCAACAAGTCGATTTTGTGGCTTCGCTTTTGGCTGTCGACCACAAGGGACTGGAGACGGGTTGTGGCAGCTGTGTCCAGTGGTGTCCAATCACGGCGTGTCAGTTTCGATTGCGATCTTTCGTGCGTTCCGAGTGAATTTGACGCACGGCTTAATCTAGCCATTCGATTCGGCGCTCAGATAAGACCCTCTCTGTTGATGAATGAGCGTCGTCGCGTTCCAACGATTGCCAGAAAATGTGCGCGAACTTCGCTGCAATGAATTCCTTAGCGACCAGTTCCTTCAAGCCCATTTATCATGAATCCAAATGCTGGCCGCTATTGACCTCTGAAAAGCGTCCTCAAGTCTTATATCGATGTTGACTTGGCTCATCCTCAATCATTTGCCTTTGGAACTTAATCACTACTGTTAACGACCCCTTGGGGGTACTTGAATCCCTCGATATTGTGAGATTTCCATGGTTCTTTGACGGATTCTTGTCAAACTGATTGACTCAACTAATACTCCAGTTTGGCGCCCTACATCTATCGAATCCATCTAGTCCTATGCCGCCTTGCCCAAAAAATTCCATGCGCTTCATCCAGGGAGGTTCACTGCAAGGTTACAGTACCCCAACTGAACCGCCTAACAACTTATCGGGAACTCCTTCTCTATCACCTCACACACGTCATTCTCTTGCCAGTCTATTTTCGCCACTTTTCGTAGTGCACTTGCTACCATAACCTGCTTTTCCTCATTGACTAATTCATTTCTATACGGTTTAAATATCTATTTTTATTCTTTTTTCTTGTACTATCCCACATAGGGTCGAATACACTGGACACCTTGGACTTCAAACAAAGAAAAAGTTCTACAATGTTTTGGTCGCACTCCTGAGTTCGAATACTTGACTACCTTTGATTTATATCTATGTATTTTTATTTTAAAATTAAAGGAATTGCAGGTAGAGGAGATCGAGTCCGTGCTGGGGAAACGCGTTCAACCGTATCGCGCCGAACCAGCACACCAACACGGCCGATGTCAATGTCGACTCCTTTACCGGTATGTTGTTTACCTATTTATTCTATTTCGGATTGATCGATAAGCTAACCTCGAGAATAGCAGAGTGCCAGGGATTTTTGGGCCTATTTTGCTTTATTTATAAATATTCGTTGTGTGCGGAGCTTACCTCTACATGTAACTTCACTAAAATTATAGGGATGATTTGCGTAGGCACGAATAAACACAAACAAGAATAAACATATTTGAGGTGAAGTTTTTCATCTTCATCTTCATGAGCATTTCTGTTGAATTCTATGCTATATTCCTATTTAATAATACTATGAGGAAAAAAAAAAAAGTCTTAGTGCGTCAATGAATAGCTAATAGAGCATTCCGGGATGCGCCATGCATTTGCATGGCTTTCGAAATAACGTGAGCGATTGAAAGTCAATGTTGCGCTAATTCAATCACCCGTTCTGCATCTGTTTCTTGAAATTTCAATATTTTGAGGTTTCCTCATGTCGCTGATTAGGTTAACATTGAGAACTACAGCTTTCACCATGTGGCTATGGTTTTATTCCTTGGTTTTATTGAGTCCACCTTGCAACGTGTCTTTTTGGCATCTCACAGGCGCGCAAATAAATAGATAAGTAAATAAATAACTAAATTAAAGCACAGTCCTCATACTTGAATCTGCTAAACCTGGCCGAATTCTGGAGCTTTTTTCAAACTTCGCGAAATGAGTTCAACGTCAATTCGTCGACCTCAAACGGTCGGCGCCATCTTTGGTCTCGTCGGAAGTTGGACTATCGCTTGAAATTGCACATTCAAGATCGGCAGTATCGCATTTTGCTAGTTTACTGAGCGGCTGTGCCCTCTTTGAAGTATGATTATTGAATCATCATTACTGTAGTCAAGCTCGTATGGGCGTAATCCCTCCAGCAGCAGTTTATCGCAGACGTTTTACAATCATTCACGTAACTAACATCTGGGTCGTCACCACGTAACTGCGTACCGATAAAAAAAGCTCATCGGCGCCTGTGCCCGTGCGCTTAGCCCGTATTTACGACTCGGCACCGTAAACGACTTAGAGGAGTGCGTACGAGCGGCGAAAACCCGTCTAGTTTATTATTATGCGCGCACACAAGATAAGTTAGGTTGTCGGCATCATAAACCTCACTAACATCGGGCATCGATTGTACAGTCGCTTTTCGAATCCTCCTTCCGACTACGTTAAGGTAGTGCTCAGGTAACTCCAAATTTGGCTGTAACTTTTTGACCTTTCTGCTCGGTTACCGGTAACATGAGTGGTTTTTCTCTCAAACGAAGCTCCTCCTTGGAAACTTTTTTCTAGGGACTCCCAAAACCCTTGTGTTTCGATCTTTTAGGGTTCTCAGATGCTTCCTAGGCTCTTTGAGCTATCTTCCCCTTATCGTCTATAACTTCATTGAGCTTTGGACCTACTGAATTTAATAACTTTACCTTTGAATTCTATAAAATGGGCGAAATTGTAAGGTGATAGAATTGAGTTCCTTTTCGGATTTCTTCCTCCAGAAATAGCTAGCGATAAGATAGCAGCAACACCATAGCAATGTCTGCAAGCGCTAGAATCAATGTGACTAGATAGAGGCCTCTAAAATTAATCAACAGCAGAACCACCGTTAAAAAATAATTTTTTTACTATTTCTCTCTCTGTCCAAAATCGGATTCTTGTGTCCTTGTCCCATAGGTTTTTGAAGACTCGGTAGGACCAAATGTTCTGTTGGTAGGGGTTACTTCTCCGTAGTATTTTGTTCATCGACCTCCATGAACAACTCACCGAGTATGTAACAATGTCGATGCAATTTTGTTTTGTTACGGCACAAACGATTCTAGTTTTATGTCGATCTTGTTTATTGATCAACATTCACGAAAGAAGTGTTAAGCGCTCTGAATAGATACAGCTCTGTAATGTCAAGGGGGGGGGGGAGGTAATAGTCCACAGCCCATCCATCCATGGTTGTATTATATACTTCCTAGTTTAACCCAGTCGCGACCGCGCCGGATTGCGCAATAGCAGGAGAGTCAGGAGATTTTTCTTCAATAAAATTTGAGTGGATGGAGATTTCCCCTGCCCAGGGCTGGCGTAGATGAAATGAGGGTATGAAGATTCTTTTCAGGAAAGAAAACTTTCCAAATTCCATTTGAAACACGGCAGCCACCCTGGATACTAACTGTCTCAATAACAGTATCTTGGCAGCGCACCCGGTGGCTGCTAATTATCATGAATGGTTAGAATTAGTTCAGCAGCCTTTATCTATCAGCTCACAGGATTTTAGACATACAAACGACGATCTTTCTTTATTTCTGTCCCTGATTTATTTCAAAAGCGAATGTGCTTCAACCACGCATGTTTCTCGAAGCGCAAGACAAAGAAGTAGAGTAAATAATTAGTTGAATAAATAAGTGGCGCAATTACTTATTAGGATGTATCAGAGTTGGTCTCGAAAATGATTTGCTGCATGTACTGAACTAATCGATTTCTTACTAGTACGTACCTGAAAATTTTGCACTTCGTCCAATAAATAAACTAACGGAAAGGTTTCCTTTCAGGTCTCTGCCCTTCCGAAATCCGAAAAACGTGCCACATCGACGGCGTTCATGGCTCGTCTCCTCGGCAAAGGCAAAGATTCCATCGAGGAGAAATCAAAAAACGGTATGTGTCTAATTCATAATTATTCTGGTTGCCCCCCCCCCCCCCCTCCTGTATATGGAAGCGTACGATTAACATCAGTCCTCATCGCGATGTGCCGGCAGATTCTAGCTTGTTTACAAATCGACTGCGTTCGGGGGTTGAATAGATAAGTGAGAGGGTAGCCCAACGAGCAGGATGGTTTCTACTTTTTCTGAAATAGCCATTTATTGCCTAGGAAGGAGTTTATGCTTGGTTTTGGGCCTATGACCTGTCCTGAGACAGCCATTGTTTAGCGGCGCTCTCTCATTACCAACAATTCACAGTCCTCGTGGCGACGCCTTAAATTTATTCTTGACTTATTTGTACAAATATCTACTTAGCTTTCAACCTACATTTTTTGAATATATTCTTATGCTGTTTCACACAACCGACGAGTTGATCCCGTTGATTTCAGGAAACGACGGCCAGTTAGCGCTGTGTTCTCGAGTGCTCTTCATCGTCTTTCATCGTCTGCCTCAGTAGCCAATAAAAGGGTCAGTTTCTCTTCGTTTTACCCAGTTTCTAGAGACCACATTTGTGGCCTGACTCAAAAATACCATCGCGATCATATCGCTTATAAAATTCAGCCGTGCCAAGCCTGCCACAGGCGTTCCAAACGGTAATTACCGAGACTAAGCCTTCTTAATTGTTTTCGAGGGGTTTATGGGGATTATCTCGACGAGCAAACAAAAATAAATAGCAGTTACTGATCGATTCCAATTCTATGGATGACCTTACCGGGAAGATTAACCTCACACTTACGTAATTACCGATTAGATTAAGTCTAGTGCCCTTAAGATGGGCCTTTCCATTTAAGAAGCTCACGTTGCGCCATGGCCGTATCATGTGGACGTTGGGACGCGTCTGGCAGCGAGAAGCCACACTTTAGTGACGTAATCGTAAACAACCACCTGTTATGGAATTCTGCTTACCGTGGCTATTGCGGTAAACAGAGAAAAATGGCGATTTTCCGGGTGAGCAATAAGAATTAGGCGCGGTGGAAATGTAAATAAATATAAACAAATAAATAATACCCAAAACCTTTCAGTGTGACTTTCGATCATAGAAACCAGGAATTTTAGCGTATTTTTATGAATGAGTAATCTCATAGAGGTACAGTAGTGAATGTAGGAGGGGGGAACCTGCAGGTATTGCATGCGCCTGGCAGAAAGATGGTACCCCCCCGGAGTAAAGGTAGGTTTGAATTTATCGTTGCCCGATACCACCTACCGTAACCGCCCAGAATATGCTGAGCAATCTGTTCGACGTTGTACATAACCTGTACACAGCTCTATTGTTTGCTCAAGTTCAAGGGGGTGCACCACCTTATTGGGGCCGCTACAAGTGGGCCCTGAGTAAAGCAATTCGAACGTCCGTTGGAGTGGCCAGTCACAGCCAGACATAACCTTAAGAAGGCTATCGAGCGCAGTGTGCAAGCATATTTGGTTAGAAAACCATTTGAGAGATTCAAACGGTACCTAGCCAATAGTCAGGTTCATGCGCTCAACCGCAAGCATAACCTCGGGTTCCAGCGCAATGTCTGTTGTTTTGACGTGACTTCAAAGCTCACCTTGGGTAGCCCATGCATTCTACTCATATCGGTAGTTAGTGGTGGTAGTAGTCGAATACTGTATGGCTAATGAAATGAATACCAATGGTCAGACATGTGCATGCATTTCAGTGTTTCTTCTGTAATCTGCATATTATCCTACGGCCTCTTCAGAGGAGGGGAGGGTTGGGAGAGAATCCTTTTGAGTATCACTTGTTTGCTCGAAGAACTCTAGCTCCTCTGCATTTGAGCATTATATCTTTCACCTTTTACTAAAGACTTCCGTGCAAAGGTACAATTACCCTGAGGGAGGTGGATTTTGTGGCCAAATACCCCAGCTGAATGCTCCTACAAGTTATAAGTGCAAGGCGTATTTGAATCCTTTCATCGCTGTGAGCACTTTTTTCAACCCTTCTTCTCCAGGTTCAAGGCTAAACGGTAACCCGATCTGTCAGCCGTGCGCACTTACATCGGATCTACTAATAACTGGTCACGCGGTTATCGGTAGATCATCTAACTCATCATTTTGGCCGTAGCGCAGCGTTACGCAATTCCCGTACGTGTCACATAGCACTGTATTATTAACTGGGAACATCATCTCGGATTGTGTTACGTAAGCGTCGCGTTGCGCTGTGTTGGCATGCCGGAAATCCTCTCTGCAAGGGGTTTTTCTGACATAATATTTACACGAATCAATTGCTCAAAATGGTTAAAAAAACACATTAATAGAAATTATTGCAATTTTCATGAAAAAGCCCAGTAAGCAGTCAACGCATACTGAGATTTGGAGCACCTTTCAGATTAGCCGCGCATGTGACTTTAGGTTCGCAATCGCAGAGTCTTCTCATGCTTGGTTACCTATGCTTTGGGTTGTGATTGATGTGCATTTAGGAAAAACCGCATATTAACAAAATTGAAAAGGGTATTGAGCGCTATCGCAAGATACGGGGGTCTTGTGGTGGCAGAGCATCTAAAATACGTAAAACACCTCATTTTTCAGAAAGTGGGCGCCTCAGATGCTTGGGCAATTTTAATTTTGCCTGATTTTCATGCCCTATGTCCTAGACCGTCCTAACCATGGAAATGCCCCGGTATCTTGCGGTAGCGCCAGGGATTGTTTATTTTATTCCTTCCTCAGACGAAATCGGTGGTTTACCCATACCTCACTCAAAATGTGAACAGGCAAGCAATTATTGATTTATTGATCTATTTCAGATGAGCAGCATCGATTCACCTCCACGTAAAGGATATTCGACGTGAGGAACTTCAGCCAAGAATTACTTTCACGTAAGTTTGGCACTTCTCTGAACTTACCCCCGTCAACTGAACGGTAATCTCGGGTAATTTCAGCCAGTACCAGAGGACCTCGCCCCAGCAAAGAAAAGAAGTGCCGCCGAACCATGTGGGATTTATCCCGTAGATGAGACTCTTCAGGCTCAACTAGAAAATGTCAACTATTTTGTGAAATTACCATCGAGGTCAGGATAACCACTACAACCTTTACCCATTTTTTTGATTCAGTAACTAAAGTAGTTTCGGCGGCAATTTGAATCTACCCGTGTAGGAACTCACAATCTATGATGAGCACGCTCGTTAATTGCTCATGAGATGGGCAATCAAATGAGGGCAATTAAGGATTTGAGGATGACCAGTAATGGCAAAGTCATCATGGGTCAAATCAACAGCTGTATAGCATAAAACATGCCGCTCAGAGGTGAATCCCTTCACACGTGGGTAAATACCTCAACTGGATGGGAAGCCATTCGAATGGCTGGGAAATGCTAGGTAACTATTTCTAAGAATGTGCAACGTAGGGATGAAATATTGAAAGACATTCATTCAAAAGAGACATCTTTTACATACAAACATCTTTCACCGACAAACTTGTAATAGGGCATAATTCAATTGAAGAGGAAAGCTTTAGGCACGGATCATTCCCTTCTTGGAAGACGCCATGCATTCGTCTTCCATACAGAGTATTTGGAAGCGGTCGTAGTAGTGTTTGAAAATGGTCTGGCCTAGGCAATGATTTGAGGGAGCTGGCAGATCCATAAGTTGAGCTTTTCGTCCTCTCCTAAAAACCTCATACCAAGTGAATGACCATGAAGGGATGGAAGCTCGCTCCACTCGTGTGAAATTCTACCCGGTATGGACCCGCAGAAAGCGGGTTCCTGATAAACGGCGCCATTTGGGCTGTAGTACTTCCGCTTTCCGCTCTTAATGGAAAAGTAGTTGTACAAATTCCTCTTATACAGAACTCAACTTGGTGTGAGCCATGTAATGGAAGCCTGGCTTTGGATTGCAGACCCAATTGAATGCGTTTGGGATTCATGACGGTATTCGCAGCTAGCAGGCGGTGCTGTTGACCTTGTGATGCCTCAGCTGTCTCAAAGGAAATGTTTTCTTCACGAAGAATAGCCGTGATAAGTCAAGAGACTAAGGGCCGTATGCTATCCTCCCCGAAGGGGTTAGGGGACGAAAATTCCTTTAAATTTTCTCTGTCTTCCCAACTGGGATTACCCTGATAAAAGGCCTACATTAAATGTATGTATGTAGGTTAACCCATTCGCGACCGCGCAGGATTGCGCAATAGCAGCAGCGTCAGGAGATTTTTCTTCAATAAAATTCGAGTGGAGGGAGATTTCCTCTGCCCAGGGCTGGCGTAGATGAGCGAGGGTATGAAGATTCTTTCCATGGAAGAAAACTTTCCAAATTCCATTTCAAGCCCTGCAGCCACAGTAATACCATTGTCCCGAGTGAGAGCTTTGTCAGCCACCGGTGGCTGACATTGTCACGAATGGGTTAAAGTAAACATGCATTGAAAATGAAGAAACTACATCGTTCAAAGCAAATAAATTCAAAGGAAACTTTCCGTCACACCTAGCTTCGGGGAAGGATAGCATACGGCCCTAAGTCAGCCAAATCATTCGAATTTCGATTGGAAACTGAGTGGAGAGGTACTCGACGCACATCTGGCATTCTCACACAAGAAAATGAGCGGCTAGCTCGTCCATGGTTCTTTCTTGAAACTAGCTTAATACTACTGCTAGCTGTAATGTACTGTAACTGTAATATGAATAATGAACGCGCAGTTAGAAAGGCTTTTTTTAAGGGTCCGTCCCGTCTGCTTGGCGGCGGCGCTCGGAGCCATCGTGGTAACTTTGACGATGATTAAGCGGTGAAATTGAAATGCAATCTTATTCAGGGATCGGCGATGACTTAAACTTTGCCAAAAGTAATAAACAACGCCTTCTAAGCTAACCTCCACCCTATCTTGGTGAGCTTCCATATTTTTGAAAGTGTCGCCCAAGTGAATGTATCAAACCGTCGAATGAAAGGGTCCTATTGATGGCGCTTTGTTTGCTCACAAGGATGCTGAGGCATTGTACGACCCCCACTTGCCCTCAGCAAGGGCTCCAACCGATTGTTGCCAGCTTCGGTACAGTCTAACCAATGCGCCATCCAAAGCCAATGACCTCACCTTCTAGCCTCCGTTTTCTCAGCTATATCATTCGCAACATTGACTCGCGAACATCAGCTTAGCAAGAACAAAAACACCTGGTTCAATAGGCCATTCAACTTGAAACCACCATCAAGCCTTTGAACCACGTGACGAAAGCAATTACACGCTGTAGCGAGAATTTTATGGCCAGTCGAAAATCTGTTACCAGATGTTAAGCGATTACATGGGCCACGTCGATTAGCATGTCGTCTGCTGCCAGGAAGCGTGACATGAAATAGCACATGTGCATCAAAGTCTTTAGCCCTTGAGGTCAGAGTTGACCACTCGCGTGGGAAATCGTTGAAGGTTAAACACGCCCTCCTCCTTCTGTTTGAGCGCTCTGTACCTCTTACAAAGTTCAAGAATCCTTGAAGTTTTCATAAAAAATTTACCATTATCAGCTGGAATGGAAAGGTTGATATCTTACTTTAGGAAATTTATTATGTGGTGCGATATTTTTTGGGACAACAAGGTACAAGAGGCGACCTTTTTCTAGCATGATTCGTGCCATACCTGCAAAACCATAGGAAAAATGCTCTTCAATACGGCTCCTGGGAAAGTGAAAGCAACACAATAAATGCATATTACCAGGCTTTCATTAATTCGATTTTTCTAGGGAACTTTTGGTTCGAAACCTGCTTGCCCAAGCCGAAGGAGCATTTGTCGTACGATATTCGGAATCGAAACGACGATGTCTGGCGCTGAGCGTTCGTGTACCACCCACGCACAACCCGGCATGCATATCGCACTACCTGATTGTCAGGAATCAGCACGGATATCGAATTAAGGTCAGTCAGAATTTCGCTTCCTGAAAAATCACATCATTCAGTTGTTAAAGAATAGAAGTAGAAAGTAAGAAGGGACCGAGGGAATGAAATAAGCAGATAAAGCGAGTAATCCGCTTTGTTCAAATGCACTCCCACAATCAAACTGATGTATTCTCGCTCGCGAAAGTGAAAGCAGGGGTGCAAAGTGGGCCTACAGTAAAAAAAAGCGGAAAAGAATCGGTACTGTTTAAGCTAAAAGCTTCACACTTTTGCGTTAGGCTTGAGAGACTAAGCGCAGAAGTGAGAGCATAGGTGAGGGAGCACAGCAGATGAGAGACCACAGACACATGCATGCACGAGTGAGAAAAAAGGAAGCGATGAAAGCTGTTTTCCCGATGCCTTAGCTCCTTTTCGCACACTTTCGAGCCAATCGACGTTAGTCTGCGACTTCGAGGAACAAGCGTGTCGCATATGATGCTGGAGCACCGTTCATCGTTGGACCAGCTTTAGCTTTGGCTGTGAGGTCAGAATAGCCCCCAGTAAAGCTAAATATGCTATGAAGGTCCTCCGTCTCAAGTTTTTCTGTCATTTGCACCATTTGGACATTGAAAACTTCAGAGTGATGTTTACTGAGCGGCCATCCTTAGTCTTTATATCCTGAGCTCCTTCCTTATAGAGGTCAGAGCGCATGAGCGGCAGTAATAATCGTGACCTGAATGGATCAAAGGAGGGCCGTGTCACGAATGTCCCCCTATAAGGGTAATGTGCAGTGTGGGTGTATTAGGATAACCTTTCAGTTTATCCTAGATACTGTTTCACTTGAAAAAATAAGACACTTGGAGGATGGGCGCTACGCGCGTGTTTACGACTCTTCTTCTAAGTAATAAGATCATTGTTGCTAGGAGTTTAAGATACATGTCTTGAGCGTGTTGTGGCTCCAAATTTATAAAACAGGCTGTTTGGGATTTATTTTGTGATTGAACTAACGTAATAAGTTATCTATTAGTGCAGTTGAGGGAACTCAATAGATTATGCTAATCGGCGTTACAGTAATCCCACTAAGAGTTCCAAGTACGGTAACACCATAACACTTCATTATCCGCAGTGTTGCGTCATAGTACGCACAGCGCGGAACTCGTTGTGACGTGGATGCGATAGTATCCTGTTGCATTTTGAATTAACTGCATAATTACTAGTTTCCTAGTAGGGCATTGTTACCCTCTCGGAATTTTTTAAACCCTCAAAATTTATCGAATCATTTTGATCTTCTGCCTGGTTTGGAACTTCCTTTTACAATTCCCGATAATATGAATTCAACCACTTTTTCAGAGTTGCGACAGCATTTTCCATCGCTCCAAATGCTTATCACCCATCACTCAGTCATGCCGGAAAAGTTGCCGGTGGCGTTGACGTTCGTTCAATGGAATGCATCCGATTGGGTGGAGACCTACGATATGCACACCGATGGTGATCGCCGATAGAGGATCCGTAGAGACTTCACACACACGTTCTCGGACACAGATGAGAATAGATTCGAGTATAATTGCGGTCGTGGGCACGTAAGGGCGACCTCCAGAGTTTAGTTTATTCGTCTTGCTAGCCTCCATTTACTGAAAGTCTTATGCTTGGGCATAAACATAATCAGAGTCTCAGAAGTCCGCAATTAGCTCGCGTCTAGGGGTCGGATTTGTGGCGGTTCCGGGGCGAAAGATATGTCTTGAATCGAAGTTAATCATCAGAGGAAAAATCATGCGCGATTTATCAAGCTTGTCTGGGATACGCCGCACACCCTACTTCCATTTGGAATCGCGGAGCCGCTGAAAACGTTCTGGTCGTTTCAGATGCTCGCCTTGAAGAGGCACGATGTCAAGTGAATTTTATCTTCCCAAGGTTTGGTGCCATAAGGCAACCTCAGTGGGGCATGGTCTGACTGGGTTGCACGAAATACATTTTATCAGAGGTTTCATCCCCATCCACGTGGGTAGTGGCACCATTTTACACTACGATGTTCTCTCACGAATTGGGCTACAATGACGCTGATCACACCTCACATACTCCGCCCATTTCACAAGTCCCGCCCCCTAAACTTTGTGGGAAGCGGTGAGCTATAGTTCTACTGCGGTGATTGTATGCGCAGGCAGCTAATTTGGGAATCACTGTCAGTTCTCTATGTATTGCGAAGTAGTCCACGTAGGCCAAGGGAAGGACTTCATAGATGTTCTGAGGGATCCGATCTTATAAAAAAGACTTAAATTCAAACCTGGACGGGTGTAAGGCTCGAACTGGTATGGTCAAAGGCAAGCTCAACCAGGAGAATTCAATGAAGCAGCACTCTCTTTATTTAGCAGTTCCTTCTCAGTAAACTGAGTTGCAAAGTGAGTGGAAGGGGAGGAGAAAGGAGGGGGTGGGGAGGCTGGTGAAATTTGGGATGGAAAATTCATCTTGCTTGACTGTCGATTATTGGGACTACTACCCAATTAACAAAGGAAGTCTCTCCAAAAAGGGTTAGCAGAGTTCTGAACCTCTCCAATTCCATTTAGTTTTTCTTACATCGCTTCTTTTCAGATACTACCAAGACAACGAGCGTCGAATAGAAGACTTCGTGACGCCGAAGAGACGTTCACGCATCTATCTAGACAGCTATCGGCATTCCCGTTTTATCGACATCGCCTAAGGATTCATCATGGCTACAAAAACTGTCAGAGGGCAATTTTCTGTCAGTAAGGGCCTGTTTTCATACAGAGCCATTAGGATCGTCCTAATGCGTCGAGTTACGGCTATATTAACTACCGTAACCGACGAAATGTCGATCTTTACTATGTGATATACCTCGTCGTCGAAATGAGTATTCTCCGTGCAAATCCGTCTGTGAACTTGATATCCGGTGTGCGCTTGTGTGTGTTGGTGTCTTCCGATTTCAAAAACTGCTGCTGCTACTGCTACTATTGTTATGTGGTCACAGTTTTCAAATGTTCTATTTCTGCTTAAATTATGTACATAGTTTTTTTTTATTTTAAATTAGAATAAAAATAGTTAATTCTTTGCTGTTCTACAATTTCGTAATAACTTCGTATAATTCGTTGTTCTCTTCTGTTTCTTCTGTTTACATCAATCATAGATAACTATAAAGGTAGGAAAAGGGTTTGTTTCTTAATCTCCTCAAGCAGGCATTTTTTCAAGGCACATGCTCGCCTACATACTGTAGGCGGCCAGTCATGTGGTGTGAGTGTTTTTTCCTAGGGTGGGTTTTATCAATAGTGGTTAGGATAACCGGCGAGACGTTTTAGGCTTGCCGTAGGGACAATGGGAGCAGGTTTCGACGATGTTAAGACAAGGGAAGATAGGTCGAAGTTGCAAACATGTCTTGTCTTGCGCCAGTTAGTAATTTCTTCCTTCGGATGTGTGGTTGATCATTTCACACTGACTACCTCGATTACTGCCCGCTTTTTGATGAGCTTGGGACCGCTTCCAACATAGACTCCGCTTCCACTGCATTATTATGACCATTTGTCTTTTTAGTGTCACGGTTGAAAACCGAGGTTCGCTTGCAGTTTAGTTTTGGAACCCACCAAAACGCGAATTGCCATCAGTTTTTTTTTGTTCATCGCGAGAACATCATGCTGACGCGGATCGCAACTCGCTACAGAAAGTATTAGGTATGAGAGCGAGTAGACATCTCTCAAGCAAATCCAAGAGTAGTAGGTTGTGGCCAGAGAAGCTTGTTTCAACATAGAAAAGGTCATGAACTTGAGATGGACTCCAATCTTCCACAAAGGCGCTTTATAGGGAGGAATTTTAACGCAAAATTCGAAATTATTCGAGAGCCCACTGGTGAGCCAATGACCACGAGTAAGTTCATACTCACACTACTCGATTCAAGTCAAGAGGACAGTTCTCCAATGCAATTTCGGCAGAGGTAGCGCACTATACAGTTGAAGTGGAAAGAACTGCGCATAAAGAGGCCGAGTGCCTAAGACCTCATATGTACCTTTTCAGTACACACTCCTAACCTGATGAGCGAATCGGCCTCGAGACCTTTTCCCTTTTGATAACACCCACGTCTCATTATGGCAGCTCCGAGAAGCAACATTTAACAAAATCAGATTTTATTTGTGCACTGTATATTGGGAGTGCCGATGGTCCGCCAGCGTCAAAATTTGCAGCACTAAGTCTTGGTCTGGGCCAGGGACAACAGTCCATCTGGTCGCACAACGAAGTTACTAAATTTTGAGACCTTGCGAAGAGATCTATCTCGCAAAGTAAGATCATAATAGAAAAAGATGGGAACTTTCTTTTCGTAAAATTAAGGAAATATCGAAATGTTTCGCAAGTTTGATCTCTCAACACCTCCCTTTCCCCTCGATGGCGAGAGACTTCTGGGTCTGGGGGAGGGTTGGAAGGCCACCTTGTTGATCTAGCTCCGAACCACTATCGTCATCTCACAGGAGTGCTGGGTCAACTATCAACAAATCCACAGTAGGGCCGGGGGAAGAGGGACGGTTGAAGGGCTCATCAGAAATCAAACAGACAACGCTGTTGTTGCCAACATGGCTTCAACCCATTTCTACCGCTTGCCGTTAATTTTTTGACTCTTATCGCATCTCTTGCCAAAACATTGGCCAACGCCCCACACTGTAAGCGCTCCGCCCAGTCTCGAATGTTTTAATTGGATAAGTGAGCGGAGGAAAGCACAAAATTGAGTGTTTGGGCAGCTCAGCCTAAATGTCTCAAACTTTGGTACTCACAGACCGTGCCGGATACTTTGATTATCGGAGTCGTTCCAAACGGCCCAAACGGCATTACCATTGAGAGCATTGAGGTTTTTACAAGCTACGAAGATGCGTAGGATTTGCTCTTCATGTGCGTCTACCATATATTCCCTTCCCCCTATCCCTTTCTCGCTCTCCTGTGGAAGTTCTGGGGGAGTTGAGAGTGCCGATTGATGTAGGTACGACTG